TTGTCTATTCATGTTAATTGCCGGCGCTACCCAACCTTAAACTCTGGCGCTCCGTTCAGCTGCAAATTATGCACATGATCAAGGTGCATTAAAATAAGGTGGGGTGTTGCCAGAGAGAGAGAGAGAGAGGACGCTTACAATTTATTCATTTTTTGATTTGTTTTTATTTCAAAGCATGCCGAAAGTAAGAGATTGTCATAAAATATTTGGCAACTAAACAGTGGGCAAATATAAATATATAAATTATATAAATATATACATATATGCAACTTGAATAAGAAGAATGCTGCATACATAAATACAAATGTGAGCACTCTCTACAGATCCAATCATTGATTCCCACTGAGAGTTTAATTGACTCTCATTACGTGTCTGTGTCTCTGTCTCTGTATAAGTGATTGTGGGGTCGTATTAGCTGTCGATGCATTAATAAATACTTGTGCGCGTTCGTGTATGATTGCAGGAAATTTGTGCAAAAATGCTGAGAGGAAAAGCAATTTTTATGTCAAGCAATTAAATTGATTTCATCGCGTGCAGCAGAAGGAGAAGCAGCAGCAAAATAGTTCCCCTCCCTCTCTGCACCTGCACCCAGCAGCCACTCAACAGAACTCTCAGTTGACTGCAGGCAAGAAAGCACTGCTGCTCTCTCACTGTCTCCCTCGCCACTCTCTTTGCCCAGGCAGTCAACAATGTGGCGCTTAATTAAACACGCGTCTGCCTCCTTACCTCACCTCACTTCTCCACCCCCACCGCTCTTCTCATTCAAGATAAGTGCCGGCGGGGGGAGAGAGTAAGAGTGCAAGGTGCTCTCTGCATTGTAATTGATTCAGTGGGAGGAAAAAGGAGGCAGACCAGGGGGTTTTGGGTTGAAAAGCGGGCAAGGTATTCCGTTTGGTAGTTGTTTCTTCTGTTCAGAGCAATTTATTGAGAGAGGGAGAGAGCGAGTCAGTTATTCGTAGAAAGGTTTTGTGCAGGCTTTGATTTCTTTTCCGTTACTCAACGGTACCACCGAAAGCCTGAAATGGGCGTGACTGTCGGCCAGATAATAGTTATCTACGAGTATATACATAATTAGCTTGATATGAAAAAGCGCTTATTGCCTGGATGGAATGGATGATGACCTACTTTAATCAGGGGCTAGCCCTTTGGGAAAACCTGTAAGACCAGTGCGCAAAAGCGCAACAGGTTCAAACTGGTTTTAAACGTATTCTTTATAATCAAAGGGCTGTACTTACAATTCGCACTGTATTCCAAGGGAGATCAAAAACAAAACAAAAACTGCTTCTGGTTTGCTCAGCCACTGATTCATCCAGCCATAGACGAAATGGCATACAGCTCGTAAGTCGAATTTGATTTGAATATTTATTTGATTCAAGCACTTGAAAGAACTTTAATATATTTTCACCTTGAGTGCGCGCACTTAACCACAAAAAAGAAGAAGAATAATAAATCAAGCAAATGGCAATAGGGCTGCGGATACCGAATCAATTGATACCCTCTTAGTGCATTTGTTTCTGTGAGAGGTCTTTGATTTAGTCTTCCAATTTTGATTGCTATTGACGGAACCTTGAAGAAACACATAAGACAACAGCGTGTTAAGATTTTATATGATTTTCTTTACGAAAGCCAAGTTTTTCTGTTTGACACGTCAAATCACATTACCCTCATTTGAAAGGGTATAAAAAACCGCATATAATAACAATAACAATGCTGCTTGGTGAGCGTGAGAAGAGCGCGGGTTAAAGAGCGGCTACAAAAAGTGGGTACAGAGTGAGAAAGAGAGAGGTACGGTTGTCAATAAGAAAGACACAAAACGTCGAAAAAAACACGCGACAAACAATTCCGGTTAAAGGAAAAGAAGGAGAGGCAAAAAAGCGAAAAAGAGCTGACAACAACGTCAACAATTGGGTTTCCCTTTCCCGCCCCCCCGCGCAACACTTCACCAGCCAACAAGCAGCAGCGGAGCAAGGCAAAGCAAACAAAACGATGGGCAATTTTTCATACGTTTCCGAAATTGCAATTTTTCTCACTTTTTCACTGCACATTTCCAATTTGTGGGGCACGGCTCACGCCCACCGCCTGCGGGCCAACGAATTGGCCATTATTTGAAACATAAATTAGCTGCTTAAACCGTATGAAAATGTAATTTTCCAGCGCACGAACCGAACTGATTTTGTTGTTGCGCCCCGTTTTGCCAGCGTATGCGTAGATAAGGCGGAAAACAGCAACGACGTCACAGCGGCAGCGCGACCGAAACACGTCCGACGATACGAAAGAAAAAAGCGAAACGAAACAAATTCAAATACGTCCAAAAGCAACAAGTGTGGCCAGAAAGCTCTCACCATATGATCGTGCACAGTGCTGCCAGTACGTCTAAAATTATATTTTTTAAGCGATCTGGCTGCCGAGACAGAGCTTTTATGATAGTTTTTCGTCGACCAGGCTGCGCAGTGATCGCAATCAGTGTTTCCATATTTAATTCGTTTAATTTTAAATTAAATTCAAAAATGTCTTGCCGTTACAGAAAATGCTCAACGTTTGGATGGGAAACAATTGAATCACATCACACACAAAAGCCACATTTCCCACCCTCAGAAAACTTTAGTGCCCAACAATATGGCTGCCTTTGCTTCCCCTACCACCACTTGTTTTGTTTATCGCTGCCTTTTGTTCGCGCCTGCCATTGTTGTGGGACTCCTGCTACCGATTGTCTGCGCCCAAAGGCACACAGCATCCGATAATCCCTCGACATACAACATTGGCGGCGTATTGAGCAATTCCGAGAGCGAGGCCCACTTCCACACCACCATTTCGGTAAGCATTTAGGCCTGTTAGCCAGGCTAACTAGATTGCCCATTGTAATACTTCCCCTCTGCCCCCTCCTGCAGCATCTCAACTTCGATCAGCAGTATGTGCCGCGCAAGGTCACCTACTACGACAAGACCATCCGCATGGACAAGAATCCCATCAAGACGGTGTTCAATGTGTGCGCCAAGCTCATCGAGAGTCAGGTAAGCCATGCGATGCAGAATGCAATTATGTTTCCCCTTCCGTTTGTGCCCCAACCCACTTCACAAGGATGTCCCACCAGTGAGTGCCTTTGGTTAGCATCATTTTAATAATTCAACAGGAAATGGTACGGAAATGGACTGATGACAAACGGTAATTCGCTTGTGAATATCTTTGGGATTCCATCCTTTGACTGGCTCGTGCCTCGCTTGCCTCTGTGATGTTATAAATGGGCAATCTTCTGCGATGACAGCAGTATATTGCTTTTAAAACTGAATTTTGGTCGTTAAACTCCGCGGTGAGATGTTTTGGTCGTTCTGGCTACTCTCCCTGAGCTTTTATGATCGGCCATGATCTTTTTTCGCTGATCCGGCAGCTCTACCAGCATGACATTGTTTTAAATTTAAAATTCTGACACCGACCATGCACTTTTTCGCCACACTGTCTTTGAGAAATTTGCGACCAATTGAAGTACTCGCATGCATTCGCCAAGCATCCAAAAGCACTTTTCAGCGCCAAACTGGTTAGCAGGGAATTAATCAGCGCCGTCATTCAAAACTCACAAAAAACACGAAATATTCATAAAGACGAAGGGATTTACCAAGCCAAGTGCATTGCACCCACTGCTAAGACACTTTTGCAGTCAAACTTCCGCTCATGGCATGTTTTTGGGCGGGGAGCGTTGGTCCAACCAAAGACTCTATAACATAGAGTGTGTTATAGAGTCTTTGGTCCAACTACTAGGATCATGCTCCACATTCATCAATCACATATCGACGCACATTTATCAGGAACTGTCGCTGTGGGAATGGGCCTGGGTCCGAGAGCATAACCACCAACACCCACTAGGCCAGGTCTAAATCAATTCGCTGCCTGTTTTTGGGAGCGGGCATTTGTCATCATTAATGCCACAGTGAATTTATCATCATTTTGAACCTTTCATTACCAGGCGAAGGAAACAAATCAACCGCCATTGACTCCTGTGGGGGGTGCCTTACAGCCTTACAGTGTGGCTCAAAACTATCAGACTGTGAAGTACAAAAAAGTCTTGTATTAATTGATACAACTTAAATGCAGGCCACTAATAGAATCAATCCGCTGTATCAATCTGAATTATTATAAGGGATCTATTTCCATCCCCTCTTATGGTTGTGTTCCGCACCGTACGTACCTTTTCTGGGCATATTTTTTGCGAAGCCAATTGAACGTCCTCTCGGCGCCATTTACACTTCCGCCTGTTTGGCTCTGCCTCCGCCTGGGCTCACTCCCTTCGTCACACTTTTCTCTTGCCATTTCCCTTGGCATTGCTCATTTCCACTGATTTGATTTTCCACCTCGTGTTTTCCCCCAGGTGTATGCCGTAGTCGTTTCGCATGAGCAAACCTCTGGTGATTTGTCGCCGGCGGCTGTAAGTTACACGAGCGGATTCTATTCAATTCCCGTCATTGGCATATCCTCACGGGATGCGGCCTTCTCCGACAAGAACATCCACGTCTCGTTCCTTAGGACCGTGCCGCCGTACTACCACCAGGCGGACGTCTGGCTGGAGATGTTGAGTCACTTTGCATATACAAAGGTAATGTCGCGCTTCCGCCGGTATTCCATTCCTATGCCAAAAATATGTATGACTTATTGACTCATTGAGTTGTCTGCTCCATTGGCGGCGACAGGTAATCATAATACACAGCTCCGACACGGATGGACGGGCCATATTGGGGCGTTTCCAGACCACATCACAGACCTACTATGATGATGTCGATGTTCGCGCCAATGTCGAATTGATTGTAGAATTCGAGCCGAAGCTGGAGAGTTTTACAGAGCATCTTATAGATATGAAGACGGCCCAGTCGAGGGTGTATTTGATGTATGCCAGGTGAGTACTATATAATTGAATTGGAAGAAATGCAGAATGGGACCAAACAGAATAGTTGGAGAGAAAAGCAAAGGCTTAAAACATAAACAAAAAAACCCAGAAACATAGTTGCACTTGGTTGCTCCTTCAGATTGTTAAATACTTGACATTAAACATTATCAAGTTCAATCCACAAAATGTCAATAATTTTCTACTACCTAGTATACGCCCTTTGCTTGGCAATCGCAGCCACTTATGACGTAGAAAAAAACATTTATTGCAACGACTGTTCGGCGGAAAATAAAAATTGTAAAATCAGTGAATTTGGACGCAGTTGCAGGGGCCTGCCCCCCGACTATAACAGCAGCAGTGCCGACGGTTTGGGCGCCTATAACCCTTTGGAACATGGACATAGTAGCAGCAATCTTGACGACTGCATTCCATTCGGCATGAATGTAAGAGGTATGAAATAGATGCTTCAATTCCTAGAGATCCTAAAGATCCCTCAGACCTCGTTACAGAGGATCACTATTTCTGTTGCACTTGGTCCAAGGAGCTTGGCTGTCAGCAGATCAAGTTCACGACACATCACCTCTTTGTGCAGTGCAATTGGTGTGTGCCCGAGCCGCAGCCTGTTAGAAAGGAGGAATATCATCGCTGTCCCTGCAACAAATGCCCTGGAGAGCTGTGCGACGGTACCTGTCTCATTGCCCTAGGCATATCCTTCTATAGCGTTTCAAAACGCTATCTGATTTCCGCCTAACGATGACTCAGCCTCTTGCCGGAAGAAGAACTCAAAAACAGGCAGTCAAAACACACTCTACTCTGAAGCCCTGATTAGAACAATTGACTTGGAGCTGAACAAGAATCAGAATAAATGAGCGCAAACAAAAATTGTATTTGCACTTAAAGATGTACAACAATTCCATGTTCCAAGTATAGTTAGGGCCATCTTCTATTGGGGTTGAAACTCTCATAGTGACTGGATAATCCTGTATGTATACTCCTCGCATGTTTTTACACTTTCCCGCTCTATAAAGCGACTACTTTTGGGCTTTTATAGCTCTCTCCCTATCCTGCTTTCATCGCATTTGTTTGTCCAAAATCTTACACACAACGCCTGAAAAATGTTGCCGAAATTCTGGGGAGTTCCTGCCATTTAGAGAGATTCTCCCACAGCGCGCACATGCCATTTGGCATTCAGAAAATTATCATAAGCGCTCTGGTTATGTATGCACTGGTTTATTCTGTCTCTGTCTAGTACTGAGGATGCCCAAGTCATCTTCCGAGATGCCGGCGAGTACAACATGACCGGGGAGGGGCATGTGTGGATTGTGACGGAGCAGGCGCTGTTCGCCAACAATACGCCGGACGGAGTGCTGGGCCTCCAGCTGGAGCATGCCCACAGCGACAAGGGACACATTAGGGTAAGTGCGAGTGAGTCGCGCCACTGATTCGAGCCAGCCTCCATTATGCATGATGTGATTTCCATCTGACAGGACAGCGTTTATGTCCTGGCCTCCGCCATCAAGGAGATGATATCCAACGAGACCATTGCAGAGGCGCCCAAGGACTGCGGCGATTCGGCCGTCAACTGGGAGTCAGGTGAGTAATTGCATTGTGATCTTTCCTAATTGGGGCGTTTCCTAATGCCAATGGCCCCTTAAACTTTTGCAGGGAAGCGTCTGTTCCAGTACCTGAAGAGCCGCAACATTACGGGGGAGACGGGACAGGTGGCCTTCGATGACAATGGGGATCGCATCTATGCGGGCTACGATGTGATCAACATACGGGAGCATCAGAAGAAGCATGTTGTTGGCAAATTCAGCTATGATAGTGTAGGTTCTGCATAGATTCTCCAGCTTAAAGTATTCCCCATGACAATGAATCCCTTTCCCTGTAGATGCGTGCCAAAATGCGGATGAATATCAATGACAGCGAAATCATTTGGCCTGGCAAACAGAACCGCAAGCCGGAGGGCATTATGATACCCACTCATCTGAAAGTGCTGACCATCGAGGAGAAGCCGTTTGTGTATGTGAGGCGCATGGGGGATGACGAGTTCCGGTGCGAGACAGACGAGCGGCCCTGTCCGCTGTTTAATGCCACAGATTCCACGGGTAAGAATCAGACCGGGATTATTCAACGACCATTTCCTAAACTGCGTATTGCTTACAGCCAATGAATACTGCTGTCGTGGGTACTGCATCGATCTCCTCATCGAACTATCCAAGCGGATTAACTTCACCTACGATCTAGCCCTCTCACCCGATGGACAATTCGGGCACTACCTCCTTCGGAACAACACGGGTGCGATGACACTGCGCAAGGAGTGGACGGGCCTGATGGGGGAGCTGGTCAATGAACGTGCCGAGTAAGTTGAATGGAGGAAATGAAATGAAATCCGCACTAATCGGGAACTCTCCGACTTTCACTTCGTTTAGCATGATCGTTGCACCATTAACCATCAATCCGGAGCGTGCCGAGTACATTGAATTCTCGAAACCATTCAAATACCAAGGCATTACAATACTCGAAAAGAAACCGTCACGATCGAGTACTCTCGTGTCTTTCCTGCAGCCATTTAGTAACACGCTATGGATCTTGGTAATGGTGTCGGTTCATGTTGTGGCGCTCGTCCTGTATCTGCTGGACAGGTGAGTATCCACCCCTCCCCCGCCGAAGCCCATTTCCCGCAAACCCAAATCACTTTCAGAGATATCGTACACATACATAGCCATACAGCCATAGTAGATAACCATAAATCACAAATGATCGTTTCATTGGACGGTTGAATCGCAGCGATCCTGGCGGCTATTCCATTCACCCATTCCCTGGACCATTTGGACTCTCGCCGCTTGTGGATTCGATTAACTCTATGATTTCTACACTCAGATTCTCACCGTTTGGACGCTTCAAGCTCTCGCACTCGGAAAGCAACGAGGAGAAGGCCCTAAATCTCAGCTCCGCGGTCTGGTTCGCGTGGGGCGTCCTCCTCAATAGTGGCATCGGTGAGGGAACACCGCGCAGCTTCTCTGCCCGAGTGCTAGGCATGGTCTGGGCCGGCTTCGCCATGATCATTGTGGCCTCGTATACTGCAAACTTGGCTGCTTTCCTCGTGCTGGAGCGGCCCAAGACGAAGCTGAGCGGCATCAACGATGCCCGCTTGAGGAACACCATGGAGAACCTGACCTGTGCCACCGTCAAGGGCTCATCGGTGGATATGTATTTCCGGCGACAGGTCGAGCTATCCAACATGTATCGCACGATGGAGGCGAACAACTATGCCACCGCCGAGCAGGCCATTCAGGATGTGAAGAAGGGGTAACGTGGGCGCCACAGGCCTCGTCCATTTTCGTAGCTGAAATCAATAGATAGCTCAATAGTCGCATGTTTGAGGAACAAGATCTACTACATCTACTACTCGTAATCGTAATCGTACTCGTACTCGTACTCGTAATACCCAAACTAAAAACCAACCACAAGTACTCTTCTCACTCTTCAAAACATAGATCTTTAATACACCTATTACCACTGTCTATTTCTCTCTCTCTCTCTCTCTCTCTGTCTCTCTCTGTCGCTGTCTCTCTCTCTCTCTCTTTCTCTCTGTTTCTCTCTAGTAAATATTGTATTCGTTAATGGTATCGTGTTCGTATTGTTCTTGCCCGCCGCCCCGTACTTAAACGTCCCCGTAAACCCTTAAACCCCTAAACCACTTAAATACAATACCTTAACTTTTTCATGTTTTTTGATCGTACTTGCTGTACCATCCCCCTCTTAATGAATGGCTAATAATATATGACTAACATACGATCTATAATCTATAATCACAGCAAGCTAATGGCCTTTATCTGGGATTCATCGCGACTAGAGTACGAGGCGTCTAAGGATTGCGAACTGGTGACCGCTGGAGAGCTCTTCGGGCGCAGTGGCTATGGCGTAGGCCTGCAAAAGGGTTCACCCTGGACAGATGCTGTGACCCTAGCTATCCTAGAGTTCCATGAGAGTAAGTGCTGGAATGGAAGTACTCTCCTAATCGACAGATTGATAACCCTTCTCCTCTTTCAGGTGGCTTCATGGAGAAGCTGGACAAGCAGTGGATCTTCCATGGACATGTTCAGCAGAATTGTGAACTCTTTGAGAAGACCCCTAATACGTTGGGTCTGAAGAACATGGCTGGGGTGTTCATTCTGGTGGGTGTGGGGATTGCTGGAGGCGTGGGTCTAATCATCATTGAGGTGATCTATAAAAAGCATCAAGTGAAAAAGCAGAAGCGTTTGGATATAGCCCGACATGCTGCCGACAAATGGCGTGGAACCATAGAGGTATGCGACCTTGGGGATAGATTTTGATGGCCATTTCACCCTCCAAAATCCTTCACAGAAGCGAAAGACCATACGCGCCTCACTGGCCATGCAGCGACAGTACAATGTGGGCCTCAACTCCAACCATCCACCGGGTACCATCAGTCTGGCGGTGGACAAGAGGCGCTATCCCCGCTTGGGGCAGCGTTTGGGACCGGAGCGTGCCTGGCCTGGCGATGCGGCTGATGTGCTGCGAACACGACGCCCGTACGAGCTGGGAAAGCCAGGACAGTCGCCAAAAGTGATGGGTGCCACGCCGGTGATGCTCGGACGGACACGGCCCCAGCAGAATCTCTTGCCACCGCGCTACTCGCCCGGATACACCAGCGATGTGTCGCATTTGGTCGTTTAGGTTAACATTTTTTGCCAACGCATTTAGAAGATAGTAGAAATACGTTTACTCGTACGAGTGTATCATTGCTCAAATGGGGTTCATGGAGAGTCAGGAAATTGTTTGTTATCGATGTATGTATGTATGGGATGTGGCCGGGACCGGGACCGGACCTGGCAAAGTTTTACAATAATAATTTTTACCATGCATTTGATCGGTCTGGGTCCTGCGCCCTGTGCCTCCTGCAATAATCTGTTATATCAGAGTCTATATGTATTTACAGAAATTATTGGATAGTTTAATAGGTCAGCATTTATTTGATTGCAGTTAAGTTTGTGTAGTTTTCGATGGATTTATTAACAGAGAGAGATAGAGAGAGATATAGCAGGGAAGAGGGATGAATTGGAACTCCCTTTGGATCGGAATCGGATCGCTTTCAATGTGCTTAATGTTACATCTTACTATTACCCCCGCTTTAGCTTTTTTCAATCGCTTTTCCGTAAGAAAACTTCGACCTATCCTTATTCTAATAATACTTTCTACCAAGGAATTGGTTCAAATCTAATTACATCACAGAACCCACCCACTGTTACAAGGTGTATACCAAACTATACTTAAACCCTAAACTAAACTCGAAATATGTATGGCCATACTTTTGCCTAAAACGAAAGCTCCGATTGCCCGTACAACTTAAATTTACCTTTAGCTGATGCTGGACAATTGTCCAGGCTCAGATATGTATACTATCTACAACTCTTACCGACGAAAAACATTCTCATTAATCACAAGAATCTTTTGGGAGAAAAACTTGAATAAGCGATGGCCTAAGATTAGCAACTAATTAAACAACAAAAACCAAACTCGATGAAGCTTAAATGAAATTTAAACAGAAAAAATTATATGTATACATATTATATATATATAAATAGTATTATTATATATTATATAGGTAAGATTCAGTGTGAAGTTAACAGCATAATTGTGGAGCATTCCAAATGGGGAAATTCGACAAACCAAATACAATTTAGTAGCGAAATATGAATTTTAAATGTTTTGAATGTGTAAACAGTTTATGCCACCCAACAAAAAAATAAAAATAAAAAATTAAAAACATAAAATTAAAACAGTGTGATCGA